TCTTAAAAATTTTACATGTTAATTTAACATCTATGGTTTTAGTTTTACTTAAACTTATTAGCCAATTAAAATAACTTTGAATATCACATAATAAGAATATACTATTTAGACTTAAGGCATGCTTATATAAATATGCTCTAGAAGCAGAGTTGGCATATTTGTTCATTAGTATAAATGAACCTCAGATCCATTGATTAGTTCTATTAGTTTTATTGGTTGGTTACTATTCTAATATCCCGATCACTATATCAAGATCACAGGAGTATTAATTAATAATACTTTGACCATATGTGAATAAGCGAAAACTCTGTTTTTGCTAATTCCTAACGGATCAGGATATTATTATTACTAATAGACCAATGAACAAGTAGATAAACTAATTATATAGCTTTTATAAATGAGTTTAAAATATTATATCACATGATATTTAAGATTTTTTTGGTATTGACCTTATTTTGATTTATGCTAATGGGCTAATAAACCAATGAACCAATAGATTATGATATTGGTTTATTAAGTTCTATTGACAAACTTATTTTCAATAGATATAGTCCATTGCCAACTCTGCCTAAAAGCATGCTCTTAGAAGTATGCTTATGCTCCTGTGCCTTGAAACCTACTCAGTACCAATTAGGAACAACCATAAATAACATTACTGTATACAAGAAGGAAGTGGAGGTTTTACAAAAATATATATTTTTCGCATTTTTTTATAAAATAGAAAAAGGTTAAAAAAAATAATCTAATTTTTTATAAAAATAGTAATATTTTTTAATCCAGTAGTTCAAATTAGATAGTTTTGGTTCTATTAGATTTCTCTCATCAAAAGAAATCTAATAGTACTAAAATTATTCAATTTAATTACTAAATTAAAAGATATTGACAAAAACTATTATTTATTTATTTATTTTATTTTTTAATCTTTGGCAACCTTGTCAGTAATCCTTTATTAAGATTATTATATAAATAGATTATATAATGTTGAGCTTAATATCTAGGTCCAACATCTCCCAGCTACTTCGTAGATGCCCAGAAATAGTCTGCTGCATTAATTTGAAGTTTGTTTCATAATCAGAAGGCTAATATCAGGTTAGCTACACAAACTATACCAAAAGGGTTTGCAACTATTTTGTATTAATTTTCTAAAACTATTAAAACATCTATTTTCTATTCTTTTTATACCCTTATTTTTTTCTTCTTTTAATTTAAAATCCCTTTTTAGTTCCTCTCCATTTGTTCTAATCTTTAACCCCCTTTTCTATGTCTTTGTTTTAGTAGTACTTGGACCTAACTTCTTTCTTTCTTTCGTTGATCTGCTATTATATTTTTCTTTAGTCATGATACCTTTACTGATTTCTCATTGTCGTATTGTCTCACATCTTCTTGTTTATATATTTTTGTAAAAGCAGTTTCAAACTGTAGTTATAGCAAGTTCGATGTAGGTCTTAGCGTTTTTTCTCGATTGTAGAGTTTCTTGTATTTTATCTGTCTTGTCTTCTTGGATCAGACCTTTGATTACTTTTGCTCTTATTTCTAAAGATTCTTCTTTTGACTCTCTCCAGAGAGTTTTTTTGAGTAAATTTTTATTTGTTCTCATTGAGTTTCTTCAGAGAGAGCTGTTCATGATATGTTTGCTGCTAGTTTTTCTGCAATTTTCTAGCTATTTTCTTGTTTTTTGCAGCTTGCTAGATAATTTTGATCTTCTTCGACTTCTTTATTATATATTATGCAATTAGAATCTTGATATAGGTCTGGGCGCCTTTGTGCTAATGTTTGAAGCACCAGTAATTTTTCATTAGCATATTTAATTAGAGCTCTATAGCATTTGTTTTTCTTTAATATTGTACATCTAACTCTGCTATTTCTTTTGATTTGTTTCCATAGATAAGTCCACTTGTTAGTTCTGAAGTCCTCTTCTGGTTCTATCTTCTGTATTGCTTTTAATTCTTTTCAGTTCACAGCTATCTTGAGGTCTAGAAGTGTTTTGATTACTTGTCTTACTGGATGCTCAATAAGTGTTCTATCCCAATGTAGTGAAACATTTGATCTTAACAGGGGGTTAAAGATAATTTTATCTATATTTGTTATCATAGCACCTTGTTTTGCTAAGCTATCGCTTTGTCATTCCACCTAATATTGTTATGCTCTTTAACTTTAACTAAATCTAATTGAATTTCTTTTATTTTAACTAACTCTATAATATTATATACTAAATCATGATTCTTCTGTCTTAATATTATAAATTTATACAATATAATAAGCTCAGTAAACTCTTTTCAATAATTCTCTGATTAACAACAACAAAAACTGAACTATATCAAAATGTATAGAAAAGTAACAAAGTAGATACTAAACTTAGTCCTATAAGTAGAAATAGCTTGTTGTTAACAAAGTCTAAGCACTAGGCATGATACACCAAGGAGCAAGCATCAAAAGAATGGTCATTTTTCTTTGAAGTCAAGTTTTTTCTTCTTTAATGAACTTCCTAAGGTATTCGGCATTCAAACCAGAAGGGTTATTCTGAAAACAAGTCTGTAGAAGTAGCCAATGTGCACTTTTAAGTTGATAAAAATAAAAAAACTAAACTATACAACTGTAAGACTTACAAGAAGAACCTCACATACTCTCATTAGCCCACCACTTTTTTTTAAGAAAATTTTGTAAAAAGTGAACATTTTAATTTATTCTCTCCAAATGATCGACATCATATATACCAAACAAGTTGGCATTGTTTATCTTCCAAATCAGAACATGACAACAAGCACATATATACATATGCTTCAAATGCAATAGATATCTGTACAAACGATGCTTCGAGACTTTGTTCTAACCTCTTTATCTTAAGTCAATCGATAAAATTTTTCTTATTAAGTTTTTACTTTTATATACTAGTTTGAGAAAAATAGAAGTAGAAACTAATTTGTCTAGTTAGTATATAATTTTTCCAAGCCACTTACAGGCTTATAATAGTGATATTAGGATAGACAAAATTGCTTTTTGGTTTGTTTTTTTTTTAATATCTCTTTATCCCCTTTTCTTTTATATTTGTATATTTTCATTATAGCCCCCTATACCTCTGTGTTTTTTTTTTTAATCTGTTTTATATTTTTTCTTATTTTGCTTCTTGATGCAACAAATAGCTGCCAACCAATAAACAACAGGAAAAAAGTCTTTAGTAAGTTAAGAACCTTGAGGAAGGTCAAGAGCTACTTAGGCAGATCACACCTGGTGTATAAAATTATGTGAACAAGTCTTATTTTTGTTGTATCTCTATAGTCATGAGATAAAATTATTGTAATTTTTGAAAGACTGATACTATAATAAATAAGACAGAACAGCCAAATTAAAAAAAATATATATTATAAATTTATAAAAATTATTTAAAAAAATTTTTATTAAATTTAAATAAATTTTTGTTAAATTATTCTTGTTTAAAGGTATAAAAAATTTTTATTATAAAAATTTGCTTGATTTTATTAACATACCCCATATACTAAATAATCAGCTAATAACTAACATCATATCTATACAATAATATACTAAAATTAGCAAATACAAAAAAAATAAAATTAGTAAAAAAAAGGTATAGACAGGCTCTGATAAATAAAAACCCATATTTAATATATTTACCTTTCTTGAATGAATCATAAGTAACAAAGTAATATAATCAATAATACCGTATTACTCCGAAATAAGCACCCTGGCCCACACTATGCCAACTTTGGCCCGCTTTACGACAATCATGGCCAGCATTAAGTGCAAAAAAAAGAATGCATATTTTCGGAGAAATACGGTAATGATGTAGAATAGAGAATTGAATCGAACAAGTATGCACTGTTGATAATACTACCCTTCTAGAATGGAATCTGGTTATTTATTCTTACAAGCCCTTAATTATTATTAGGGGGTCTCACAACGTGGAGACCTATATGTGCTGCGGCTGTGGCCCTGGCGAACAGTCTAGTGATCATATTACGTCCTGGTTTAAAATATGAAAACCGATAGTATAAGTTTGTAGTTTTAATGAAATAGCTCAAAATAATTTTTTTTGTGTACTAAATTTAGTACAATAGCCAAACGGATACCCATGAATAAAAAATGGAATAGAAAGTTATTTTACAAAGTAATATTTGTAATTATGTACGTACGTACGTGATAGTCGTAATTAGAAAATATAAGTTGACTGCGTGAAAATAAAACAAAATACGTTATCTATTTCAATTGAAATAGATTCTTTTAATCAAATCAAACTACAAATATGCAATAAAGTTACTCAAAAACTATATTTACGAAATTTTTCCGTGTTCTTGATCCGGATATATAAAACTGGCCTGAAGTGTTAAAATTGCAAAATTGTCAAATATGGATCTTAGAGACAAGTACACTGGAGCATTATCGCTATAGATTTTGTCAATTTCCCAATTCTAATTTGAATTTTTTTTTATTATAAAACCTTACATTAGGCATCTAATTTTTAACATCAATTTTACATATTGATATACATATTTTTCTAATCTTAACTCACGTCTAATCCTAATATTTAATTAAGATGTGTATTTTTTTCTTTTATCAATACACAATAATATCAGATGATCTGAAAAAACAACGAAAGTCTGATTGGCTACAAGAAAAGGTATGAAGATTCAGTTTTCCAAATAGGTCTGTAAATTTTTTCAATTGATTACATAGACTACATCAACTACCAATTTGTAGGTATAATGTTCGATTACGTATATTCATTTATTAAATTAATAAAATGTATAATACAAACCGGATATAAACCAGATTAGAATCAGATAACCGAATAAACATCTATCTATAAAATTCAGGACGTCGATATGAATATCCGATTAGAATCCGGATCCAAGTACACTTATTGAAGGGTTTTCAGAACATTTATCAATTGTTTAATTCCGACAATCCTAAATGGAAATAAGAATGAAATAGTAAAAAATTTTGAAAACTGTATTAAAAAAAAATATTTAATCGAAGCGATTAAATTACCATTTTGCACACTCGTCCATTTTAGTAGTCATTAACTGCACTTGAATGTTGATGGCACTAGGAAAATTACGAGATTCCAAATCTAAATGCGTCATAAGAAATTGTAAAAAATGATTTAAAATGAAATAATCATTCAGTGATCAGAATGCTAATTCAAATTAACAAACCAACCTCTAACTAGAGTTAATAATGATTCAATAACACTTGGAGAAACTTCTTCATTATTTAAAGCATCGAATAGAATGTTAAGGCGTTTTTCGGTATCATCCAATAATTTTTTTTGTGTATTCTATGATAATCAAAGTATAAACATTTTAAAAACAAATCAATTATGATAAAGTATTCAAAATAACCAGCCCAACTTACAGGAGAATGTTGTCGAGCTCTCAACAATTCGTTACTAAGTATAATAAATATTGGTTTTTGTGTAGCTGGAATATGAGTTCTATCACCAGGTGCTATGATTTATAAATAGATGAGTATATTCAAAATATATTAGATATGGTTGAGACAAATATCAATCAAGAAACTCACGATGTTTGTTTGAGGGTGTTGGCGTTTTTGATGGAGTAGGTATTCTATTGGGCGTTGATGTCGGTTGATTAGGAGCATAATATGACTGAGTAGGTTGCGAAGGTCGTTGTGTTGATGGTTGCTGCTGAACATTTGGATTAGGAGGTGGTGGTGGTGGATATAAAGACGACGTAACACCTGCTTGTGGCTGCATCGACTGAATGGGCTGATACGATGCTGTTGTAGGAGCTGCAGGATTTGCCTGGAGAGGTGGCAAGCCTGTAGGTATGTTCGGTTGTGGTGGAGCAGCAAAATGTTGTGGCGGAGGATGTACCTTTTGCTGCGCTGGATAAGTGGATGTCGGAAAGGGGGATACGATAGGTGATGGTTTGTTCACTTGGGCTTGTACTGCCCTTCTGTCCGTTTGTGGAGGAGGTACAACTGGAGGATCATTCCAGTTTTGTACATTTTTCTGTGCACCTAAAACTTCTGCAGGCGGTACGTTTTCGTTTTGGACAAGCGTATTAGGCATAGGAGGTTGAGGGATTAAATTATTATTACTTTCTGAATATGGTCGATTATATCCGGTAAAGTTTTGCTGATAGGGGTAACCTGTGGGATTTTGTAGAGGTGGGTTATAAGTGGGCGGTACATATTGGTTATAAGCCGTCTGTTGGACTTGCTGGGCTTGCTGTTGAGGTTGATACGGCACGTTTGGAACAACGGGTTGCTGGTTATAGGTATATTGATTATAATATGTTTGTTGAGCAGCAGATTGTTGGTAAGCAGCCTGTGTGACGTTGGGGTCGACTTGTGGTGGAAAAGTTGCATCACTACCAACAACAGTTTGGTTTATTTCGCCATCTTCACCAATATGTACTTGTGAAAATGGGAATGAAGGTGCTTTAATGCTTCCTACATCCACACCGGAGTTGTACAATCTCTCTCTGATTACGGCCAAAGAATTATTTTGATCAAGTGTAGCTGTTTTGTATTCTACAGGTATTAAATTCAAGTATTTAAGGGCAGTAGTTAAGCGACCTTGCGATACAAGAATTTCGGCGTAATCTGCGTACTTATCATATAGGGCATACAATTTGTACTGTTGATTTGATTCACTAGTAGATGAATCTAAATTTTGAACCACGGATGCGTCAACATAGTCGATCGCCTTGCGAAATATAGTAACTTTTTCGATTAGACTCTGAAGAGTTTTTGCGTGGTAAGAATACTTCAAGCCTGTACATTTAGACCCGTCCTGATTATCTTGTACTGTTTCATATTGTTTTTCTTCATTTTCTTGTTCAGCAATCCAAATACTTGCAACGTTTTCCAAATTACCAGCAGCAAGGAAACATAACACTGCATTTTTCCTATATTCTAATCCTCTTGATTTCATTTCTTCTGTCGATGTAGGACCAATAAACTTATGATATTCTTGCTCTAGTCTCTGACCTAGTGCGTTACATAATCCTCCAAATTCTTCAGGGCGAGCGAATGTGCAAAGAACTACAACAATTTCTTGCCACTCGGATAAATCTGCATTGAATACAATGTCCGATAAATCGCCAGAAACAATACTCTGAAGAAGACGTAGATATGGGATGGTCGATGCTCGCCTTTCGAAGTATGTTTTCCGAGTTCGCTGCAAAAGTTCTTGGCCACCACAACCCGCCAAAAGTATTGCATCTGACAATCTGTCAGCTTTTAAACATAAATCTACTGCAGATTCAAAATCACCAAGTACTATGGATCGGGTAATTAGTTTATCAACATCTGATTCTTGTGCAGGATAAATTTTGAATGAACCAATATTGATATTTCCACTTTGAACAGGAAATGCATCAGGGATGTTCCCAGAACTGAAGAAATTAGAAGCATCTGAGGGCCCACTAGGATCAGTCGGTCCGGAAAATAATTCGTCCATATTATCTGATTTGGTAACAAATTGTTCATCGTGACCTTGTTCTGCATCTGACTTAACATCAATAGGGCTCGAAGGTAAAGATACTACACCAACTGGCTCTGTGGTATTATCTTGCCGTAAAATGTCATGAATATTATTTATTTCTGACTGTTTTGATTCCTCATTTGAGGTTCCCTTTAAATTCATAGCTTTTATAGCAGTCGATATTTGAGAGACTACATCATCTTTTGAAAATCCAAGATGTTTAACTAACTGTTCCCTTGCATTTTCATTGAACATTGTGTGAAGAACTTTCCAATTTTCTGACTCAAATTCGTTCGCTGCTGCTTTGACACGACGTTCACAGAAGATGCCGAGAGACTTTTCTTCAACTGATGACTCAAGTTCAATGGATCGCTGCACAACCTCTGGTTCCGTCACAACAGTGGATATTGTGACAACATGCTTGTTAGGTGCAGCTCCTGTAGAAGCCTTATCGCAAAATGAGACTAACTTTCCACCAAAACCAAACATCACACCTACAGGTCTCCTTAACCATTTTGGAGGTTGTTTGAGTGTGAGAGATGGTTGATGTGCGGAAGCAATTGGTGCAAAAGGATCGTCATTGTCATGTACGTTGGCTTGTACTGATTTATCTTGGCTAGATTGCAAAGAATGGACGCTAATCTTTTAGCGGAGTTTAAAAAAACGATCAGATATTAAAAAGATGAAATAATAATAATAATTTAGAACATTTAGTAAAAATACCTTTCCATCTAAAGAAGCGGATGCCAACAAGTACGGGTTCCCGGTACACCATTGAACTTCAAAAGCCCAATTTGAGCTTGACGGGAGCTATTTAAAAAAAAAAAAAACACGCAAAGAATGTTCGTTAATATGTTCAGGCTATTTTTCTTTTTCTATATTATGTATAATACCCACCTCCCCTATTATTTCGGCTTTTCTCGGGTTCCAGCATAAAGTTCTATTGTCTTTACCGCATGACAGCAATAAGTCGGCATCTTTTTGACACCAAGACAACGACAAAATACCTTTTTCATGCCCCGTCAAGACCTGAATAAATACAAAACCATACCACAGTCAAAACAAAATGAAACTTTTATGCTAAGGTAGCTTTTAGATGATTGATATAACCTTTTCTGGAGCATGCGCATTACGAACATCCCAAATTACAATAACTGGGTTATTATCATCTTCAGAGGCAGTTATTATTTGCGTTGCCTAAAAATTTGTAGAATAGGTCAATAAAAATATATGTACTAGAGAAATATCTTATAATTCTTTTACAGTTTACCATATCAGGATTCCACGCCACTGCGGTGATGCCCCTTCTCCCGACACCTAAACCGGAAGCCATATTCATAGATCCCATACCATAACCGCCTGCTAAATGAGCAGCAGCACCCGTATATGATAAATGCATAACCTCCCTCTTGTTTTTTAAGTCCCATATTAGGGTATAACCCGTAGTCGAAGATGTTGCCAAAATATGTTGCACTTGATTATTCCAAGCAAGGTGGGTGATCTCCTCCATTTTTGGCGATTTTGTACCAGGGGTATAGGGTTTATCAGGTTTTGCCAGATCCCAGATAAATATCTGAAGAATTAAAACATTATAAGAAATTGTGGTAGCAATGAAGTATACCATAGAAAACATTAAGTACTTCGCCATTCGTTGCAGCCGAGGCTAATAAATTATTTTGAATTGGATTGAATTGCAATCCACGAACGTTTCCGGAATGTGCTGTGTTACGTAGTAATAAAGCTTTTTCTGCGCTAATAAAGAGAATGCATCCACGTCGAATCAATTAAAAGAATTAATTATGCTATCAACATATAATCGATCGATCAAATCGAAAACCATGCTAAAACTCACTTGCCACTCTCCAAGATTATTTCTGGATCCCATAGATCTAATTCACCATTTTCCAATCCGCCGGCAATGATACCATATGTTTTATCGATTGCATTTCCCCATACAAGGCGATCAAATCTAAAAAAAAAATGAAAATGAAAAAAATAAAATAAAATCCTTAATCAATGGCTAATGCCTTGTAGAAAATTAAAGTTACGAACCTTGCATTACTAGTAACTACAGCAGAGGGCTGCAGTTCCACTGCAGTATCAGAACTATGTATATCAATGTGAAAAAGTTCCAATTCTGTTGTACTTGAGAACGAAGCATCAAGAGCCCCCGCTACGGTACCCGTGGCAATTATTGGCAAATGCTGCCCCGGACTCCATGCAAATGTTGCAGTGCGAGGGATTTCCTTTAATTTCATCGTAAATTTCGCAAGTTAAAATTCTAAATTTTTGGTTATCAAAAAAAGTATCATAATAAATATATACTATATTATATAACGTGGGAAGACCGAATTGGTCAATAATTTGAACGTGATCCGTAAAAGTTAGTATGATTAAGAATCCATTGATTGGTTGATGATTTATTAGCCAATTAAAATTTGCGAAATACAAGCTACTTTTCACTAATCGCGAGTCTTAGTAATTTTAGAAGTTATGGGTATCAAGATATTTTTAATTTTGTAAGAAAATTACAACATCAAAAAAATTTGGTTTGGCCGATAAAATTGACAACATTGAATTAAGGTTTTTGAAGGTTCTGAACATTTTACTTAATACCCCTGAGGTGTGTTAGCTAGTACGTTTTTGAGATATAGAACTTCTTCCAGTGAAAATTAGCAATACAATTTTGTAAATCTATAAAATTTGAACAAGAACGATTTTAACGCTCACTGGAGGTAAAATTCACTGGGTATGTTGTTTCTCAAAAACGGCTTTGATAATCAGTATTTAGTATACTAAGTAAAAATGTTCAGCACTCTAAAAACCTAACCTTTATCTTAATTTAAGCCTTAGACCCTAACCCTAAATTTTTTTTTAATTCAGCTTGCTGATGCCTTTGTTTATTGAGATCGAGTTACTTGACAAATTACAATTTATCTCTTAACTATATTGATCTATGAAAACAGAGCATCACTTGAGCAAACACCCAGATATAACCTTGCCTAGTAGCTTTTGGTCTTTTTTTATGTTCTTAATTTACTAAAAACTTTTTCTCTTTGGTTACTGGTTAGTGGCTACAAACCCGCTAGTTATTATGTTACTAACTGAATTTAGTCTAACAAAAGATCTAAGCTATGGGTTAAAAAGAAAAACAAATAACCAAATATATACACATTATATAACTATAGAATTAATGTATAGCTCTTATACTATTTGCTTTTTAACTCTTCAATTTAAATGTACATCATATTTGAAATACCAAACAAAAAGCTTTATAATTTTACATCATTACTGAATTTTGGATATTCTTTTTACTAAAATATATTTTTTACATTATACAAAATTAAACAGAAGTTTTTTTAAAGATTAATTAGTTATTATTAAAAGTTACTTCCTCAAGTTTATACTAATGGGTCTTCATTTCTGACTAATTATATCTGAAACAATTTGGTTTTTTTTAAATTTTTTCTACTATATAATTCTAAGATATATATAGTAATTTTATATATTTGTTGTGTTTCAAATTCATTATACACAAAATGGTAAATAGCACCAATCTTTTGATAAAGATAAACTAAATTTTTTATATTTGTTAAAAATTTTAATAAAACAGAATGCCAAAGAATATTATTGTTGAGTTTTGCAAATTTTTAATTTATAAGTATTGTTTTTGTTATTTATCTTGTTTTTTTATTCTCTTTATTTATATTTTCTGATACTTATAGTTTTCAACGTTTTTCTGATTAAATGCCAAATATACAAGGAAGTTCATTTAAAAAAATAAAGAAAAAAGGTTTAAATCCTATATAGAGTTGTTACAAAGCAGTTATAGACAATAAGTTTAGATCAGTATTGTCAATTTTTTGTTCTATTGATAAAAATTGTATTGCATTCTAAATTCTATTATTTTATTCTATTATTCTATTTTTTTTTTTTTTTTTTTACTTCAGCGATCCTTTCTTTATTTTATAAATCGGCAATAGAATATAAATAGATATTTAGTTAGCTAAACCTACATTATCCTCTATAAACTATTTAATGCCTGTCTAAATAAAGAATCTCTTGATTTGTCTCATTATCGCAACTTAATCCTAGCTAACCAGAATTAAGTACTAGAGTATGACCCAGGAGCAACCCGTCTAAGTAAATATTTTCCTTCACCAGGATTCTCAACTTTCTGAGGATTTGAGTCTCAATATCAACAGATGGTTTTTACTGCCCTTGTCAGAATCACTGCTCTACAATAGAGTGTCACCAATCTGATAACATTTTGTCATAGAGAAGTAAAAAAGAAAAAAAATTAGGTAAATGTAAAACAAAAATAGAGTAAATACAGAAAAAAAACAAACAAAAAAGAAAACAACCAAATTATAAAGAAGTTAAAAAACTATTCTAAAATCTAAGAGAACTTGTCTACAGATATAAAAACCTGCTAATCAGATAAAAACTATCTACATGGTCGTGGAAATCTATACATAGAGCTATCTGATATAAAATCAAACTAAAGTGCACTTTATCCAATGTTAAGGGCTAAAAATTATATGTATCGTATCCCAAATGACAATTTGTCCCAGATGTCAATCTGGCCAAAATTATAAATTAATTAGCCCAGGCATTAAGGTTAGATTTGAACAATTTTAATTTGGGCTGTCCCAATTGGCAATCGGGACAGGATTGTCATTTGGGGTACAACATATGCATATAACTTCAAAATATTGCATATCTTATATAGTGTTCTAGTTACAACTCTCATATAAAATCTAGTTCGGGTCCTAGGATATTCGACTTCAAAGCTGATTGTCAGTTTTAATTCTAGCCTCAAAACTTCCTCCTTACATGTGTTTTGTTGTTTTTCTAATTCGTCATATCACAACTCAAAACTTTTCAAAAATAGAAGTGGTAAACAATGCTGATCTCTTGCTGATCCTTTAGACAAAGGTAGCCAAATCCCAAAAATTTTGAAAAAAAGAGTGATGAGAGAATATAGAGTTTTTGTGAGATTCTACCGTAGTGAGTACTTTCTAAGTTGTTTCTTGTTTTTCTTTCCTTACTATCATAGTTTCTTTTTTATTTAATCACTATTAGAATAATCCTTTCGGCTTGGATGTTGAAAATAGGAGGGAGTCTACCAAGACAAGAAAAGACTTAACCCAACCTAAAAACTGCTTCTTTAATGCTTGCTCCTTGATGTATCACGTTAAAGGTTTCATCAACAGTAACTGAAAGAAGAAACTTGGATAGTTTTAGGCATCTGACTTCGAATTTTTCAACTTAAATTGGTTGAGAATAGTTAGTCCAAGTGATCGTTAGGGGGAGTTGATGATTGTTTAATCTGAATTTTTAATTATTCTATTGTTCTATTTGTTTTTTTGTTATATTAATATTAATTATAATAAAAACTCTTTCCATCAATCACTTACACAAAATTTAACTAAAAATTTGTCTATCAAAAATTGTTAATAACACATTATTTTATTAAGATAACTGCCTTTAGCACCTTAAATAAATTTGTTCAGCTCAAAATTTTACATATAATTTAAAAGTTTTAAGTCTCTATCTTGAAAACTCGTAGCAAAACACTACAAAAACCACTTTTGATTTTAAAACTCCAACTTTTAATTATTTCTCTAAAACTAACTTTACAACTTATCTGGTGGCTCTAAGATAAGTTTTTGACTCAATATTGACCAAGTTATCAACAGAAAACTCTTTTCACTCCTCTAAAAAAATTTATTAAAAAACTTTTTGTTTTTACCCCTAACTTTTTTTCTTTCAAACTATTTTTTATGTAATAGTAAATTACTTTTAAATTTAGATTTAATTAAATTTTCTATTATATCAATCAAATTACCCAAAATAGTAACTTAATTATTAATACAAAGCTATTTTTATAACTTGTTATCTACTACTATTTTTATATAACCTCTGTACTTTAATATACTATTTAGTACTATATGTAACTTTTCTGTTATACTAGCCATACCAGCTACACTAGTTATACTCTCATATTACCTATACTAATTTGGGTTATACAAGATTATACAAGCCACATCAGCTACAGCCATAACACAACAACTCCTGCCTATACCTACTCTTGTTATAATGCTCTGCTATTATTGCAATATTATAAGTTTTTCTGCTAATATATCTAGAAATTTTACTAAGTTAACCTATTTTGTGCTTTTAAGCAAAATCTAATAACAAGATGCCTACTACTATTGCCCAAACTCCCGACATGATCGACATCATGCCTACTTCAAAAGTTATGCAAATCGCTAGGTATTGCTATTTATAAAAATAATCTTGAAGATATTAAAACTATTTCTATCAGATTCGAATCAAAGTCTTGCATTACAACAAATACTAGAACCATCAAAGCTATCCACTTCTTCAAAACACCAGTAGTAACTACAACAATTCAATATCTCTGTCACAACTACCATACATACTTTGCTTCAGAAATCAATATTTATCATACCTCTACTTTTATGACTCCCACTATATCTAAATATCAAAAAAGAAAAATACTAAGCTATATTTGAAAAAATTATTCAAGCTTTAGCCTCAACTTCATCAACTATCCAAGCCTCACCCTCATCTTCCTCTTACACCCATATCTGCCAAAAATGCTGGGTACCAATCAACTGCAAATCAGTTAACAGCAATCACCAACTCTCAAACTATGCTAACTTTCTCAACAGTCAAGTCTACTATAAAGAATGTCTACAAGAACCTCAACAATCATCTAAACATACACCTAAACAACAGCTTTCTAACTCCCTTAATACTACACTTGGTGCTCTTACTTCATCAGAGGATATTAGTATGACTTCTAATAATGATATAGATATTGGCAATTAATAACAATAATACAAACAACAACAATCTTTATTCGAACAACAATTTTAACAATATCAACAACCACCACATCAACATACTGACTCATTAAAAGAAGACAATGTCAATAATCAACAACAACTAACAGGCAAAGAAAAAGGAAAACAAACTGCAACTAATGAGACTGATACAATCCAAGATGACAACACTACTACTAACCTATTTAATAGTATTCGATTCATATCTATGAATAAGTACAAGAAAATACAAGAAGAAAAAGCCAAATCTGAACAACGACTTAAAGAGCTCTGTCAATATAATAAAGAAAAATCAAACAACAAAGCCAATCAAGGTCTAGATTGATTCAAGAACTACCCTATTACAGATGATATGGCAAAATATACAAAACTCAATGACTTAT